TATATTAGAGGCCTCTAGGGGGCCAGATTTCTTTGTCCAGGGTTCGTGAACGTTGGTGCATGCCTATCTGCTGCATCTACCTACCTGCTGCATCTATGACTCCCGACGACCTGACTGCCTGGCTATCTGCCTGCCTGCATCGGTATGTAGGCTACGCCAGGTGGGAGCCAACGTCTGTAATTTTTCCACGTGACTATAGACGAACTATTTTGAGTTTTAGACGGCTCGTCTATAGAAGAGTTTTTTAGACGATATAGACGACCGTCTAATAGACGACCCATAGACGACCGTCTATACCCAGTCGTCTATAGACAGGTCGTCTATAGATTACGTCTATAGACGAAGCGGATATAGACGGTTATCTATAGACAAGTCGGATATAGACACTGTCTATAGACAGTTGGGTATAGGCTTTTATCTTTTAGACGGCAGTAGATGGCGGGCATCGTTCCTTATTCATGTGTTACAATCTCAAATCGTTTCCTCTTCCACCAGGGCTTCACCCACCATGTTATTCAGGTTCCGGGTCCAGGTTTGTCATTGCCATTGACACTAGCAAACCAGTGGTTGTCATCAACCTTGGCTGATGAAACCTCAACCTTGGTTGTCATCAACGACATCAATATCCACAGTATCCAAATCCATGTCTCCTTTAGGCATACACAAGGCATGCGCTTCCAGGCTCCACCCATCCCAGCATCACAAGTACTGAGTACTACTTAAACCATGAGTGCTTCTCCTTTTCCTTTTCCATAAGGACCCTGGTAAGCTCTTCCCGAGCCGCCGAGGGCTGCAAATCCTTCCGTGCCCTCACCTCATCCATCACCTCCTCACTCACAACAGGAATCAGGTCATCTGGGGGCAACCCCACCAGGTCATTCAAGACAAACTTAGGGTTCAGCTCGGCAGCTGTGTGCCCACCCTTGCTGTTACCAGTCACAACCCTGCGTGACTTCCCACCCTTCCCACTGGCACTGGGTGCCAGTGCCCCCTTGCCCTTTGGGGGCACACAGACAATGCAAACCCGCTGCAGCACTGTCTCCAGCGGTATGCAGCCGAATGATGCGGCTGGCTGGCCACTCCGCCTGTCAAGGGTCACGAGTGGGTGCAAATGTGGGATTAGTGTTTGTGGGGCTGTCAGTGTCCCCAGGGCAGGGTTAGACCTGATCTGCCCATGTGATGGCCCTTCAAGTCAAGAACCTCCTGCTTCTGCAAGATGTAGACAGCAACAGAATGACAAATACTACAACATGTGCTTATACTTTGGCCCAAATAGACTCTGAGGTCACTCACCAGGCAGTTGCTCTCGTATTCGTCATCGTGTGCAGCCCCCCTGGCCGTGACAATGTTGAGCTTGCTGGTAACCTGCAGGAGAGTACAGAAGCAAGTGACAAGCAGTGAAGCGTAGCAACTGGGGGGGGGGTGTAGCCTGCTGACTAACCTGCTGCTGTATGGTCTCCATTTTCTTGTTGGTGAATTGGTAGCTGGCCCACAGGGTTTTGACATAGCTTTCTTTTGGGCCGGTTGTGGTCAGGTCGGTCATGCCATACTGTCTAATGTCCCTTGCTTGCGTCCTTGAAGGGTGCCAGGGCCACATCAAGTGCGGCCTGGAGGACCTTGCGCTTCAGGGACCGGAAGGACAGGCTATCCTTGCCCTCACCTGCATGTGAGTGGTACACAGAGGTGGTAGTCCCACAAAGAATTGTAGATACCCTTCAAAGTATCTGCAGATGGGGTGTAGGCCTCGCCTGGAAACTGCTTGAACAGGCGCAAAAACTCCTGGAGCTTGCAACCTGCAGGCATCACATTTCAACTTGCAGTAAGCATTGTGGCTTGCTATCAACTAGGCACCAAAAACAGCATGCTTAGAAACAGTGAGTAATGCTGGTAAACACTGGTAACACTGGCCAATGCTGGTAAAAACGCACCCGAGAGGTTCGCCGCGAGGAAGGTCTCCACCTCTGAAGAGGGGATCTTCTAGGTGGCTTTTCACTATTTGCGTCTGCATACTGGTCTAGGTGGTCAAGGTATGAGACGCCCATCTGGAACGGGCCAATCCATGGCTCGTCAAGAGGAGCACTGTGCCTGCCTTCCACATTCACCACTGGCTCATGTCATGCACCAATTTATCATTCTTGGCGACGTCTCCACCGGGCAACGCAGCAGCCAGGCAGCGTTGACTCGATACACCCTTGCAGCCATAGGGGTTGCGAAGGAGATGCAGGCGCAGCTCCTTGAACTCTCGTCCACAGTGAGGGCACCTCTGGGTGGACATATTGATGACCAGTCGCGGCAGGTGAGAATGCTCAGTGAAAGTCTGGCAGTTGACCAGGGCCTCTCCCTATGTGATAACCAGTGAAGTAATTGCGACACCTGTGTCACTATCTAATTATAGGAAATTACACTAAATAGATTTGCTGTAACGTCCTCCAGGAATGCGCAGAATGTCTCGCCGAGGCCTGGGCACTGCTTCACTAGCTGTGGCTGCACTACATAAACAAGTTCCGCTGCCAGCTCAGCATCAAAAGCAATACCATTTTTCGTGATAAACACTGCCTGCTCTTCAAAAGCCGACCAATTTTCATCGAGAAGGTTCAAAATAAAAGTGGAGTCCATAATTTTAAATTAAGCAGATAAACCGAGGCCTGATGGGCAATGCTGACAACCTTCCCTGATAGACGAATCTTCTTCAATTTCAATCTGCCGTACTCGCGTCCCTCGTAAGGGACGCGACTACGACACAGCTGCTCAAGACCACCGACAAAAATGATAAAAGCTCTGCGGTTGCTCATAAGCTATCATAGAATTTCGTAAGAAGGTCAAGCCCGTGAGTCAACGCGGCATAGCAGAATGTATGACCGGTCCTTACATAGCCAAACACGCAAAAGGCAACGACTTGAATGCCGAACAAACACCAAAACAGCAAGATAAGCCTGAAAGTTTTCCTGATAAAGGCGTTTGGGATGGCGGTGCTGTTGTCAGTAATGCATCGGCAATGGTGTTGCTGCCCAATCATCTCAAACTGCTACAGTTTTGTGGTAAGGAAGTGGGAGAGGCTGGGCACTGCCTGGTCCCCACAGCATGTGCTGGGGTTTTGTAAGTATGGCGATAATCGTTACATGCCAGGCAGTGTTAGCCTGCCAGAACCTTGCCAACATTGATGCAGAACAGACATCAGCTCAGCGGCATGGTTTAACCCAAGCAGACACTCTCCAGCATATTGAACTCCTCTCACCGTCTACCCATCGTCTATTCTTCGTCTACAATAGATGAATCGACTAGAGACGACATGTATAGACGACTCGACTTTAGACGAACTATTGTAGATGACTCGTCTAATAGACGGGTCTTCAGGATATAGACGACCAAA